TACCAGTGCAGCGTCACCGGGCTCATCTTCGAGGTGACAGCGGCCGCCAGGGTGACGTACTCGCTGCTGTCCTGGAGCAAATACGCGCGGCTGGTGCGGGAGCCGTGGATCGTGGGCGGACCCCTGTTCGATGTGCGCTGCAGCTCCAGCGGTGCCCTCAGCTCCCTGCACTTCCCACACTGCCTCTGCCTGCGGGGTGAGCTGGGGACGGCGGGGAATGGGATGTGGGAATGTCCATGGGGTGTGGGGATCGCCCTGTGGTGACCCTGCAGAGTGTGGGAATGGGATCTGGGAATGTTCATGGGGTGTGGGGATCACCCTGGGGTGACCCTGCAGAGCATGGGAATGGGATCTGGGAATGTCCATGGGGTGTGGGGATCGCCCTGTGGTGACCCTGCAGAGTGTGGGGATGGCAGGGAATGGGAGCTGGGAATGTCCATGGGGTGTGGGGATCACCTTGGGGTGACCCTGCAAAGCATGGGGATGGGACACGGGAATGTTAATGGGGTGTGGGGATCACCCTGGGGTGACACTGCAGATGGTGGGGAATGGGACACGGGAATGTCCATGGGGTGTGGGGATCGCCCTGGGGTGACCCTGCAGAGTGTGGGGATGGTGGGGAATGGGACACGGGAATGTCCACGGGGTGTGGGGATCACCCTGCACTGACCCTGCAGAGCGTGGGGACAGCGGGGAACGGGACACAGGAATTTCCATGGGGTGTGGGGATCACCCTGGGGTGATCCTGCAGAGCGTGGGGATGGCAGGGAACGGGAGCTGGGAATGTGCCAGGGGTGCAGGGATCACCCTGGGGTGACACTGCAGAGCATGGGGACAGTGGGGAATGGGACACGGGAATGTGCCAGGGGTGTGGGGGTTACCCCTTGGTGTCCCTGCAGAGCGTGGGAATGGTATCTGGGAATGTTCATGGGGTGCTGAGCTCACCCTGCACTGTCCCTGCAGATCATGGGGATGGGGCAGGGGGACCTGGGAATGTGCCAGGGGTTCAGGGCTCACCCTGTGGTGACCCTGCAGATTGTGGGGTTGGCAGGGAATGGGACCTGGGAATGTCCATGGGGTGCTGAGCTCACACTGCACTGTCCCTGCAGATCATGGGGACAGGGGGCAGTGGGACCTGGGAACGTGCCAGGGTGTTGAGCTCACCCTATGGTGTCCCTGCAGATCGTGGGGATGGTGGAGAGCGGGACCTGGCATCGTCCTGGTGTCCCCAGTGTCACCCCTCAATGTCCCCGCAGATTGACAGTGGGGAGCAGCACCCACCACTGTCCCGGTGTCCCCAATCTCTCCCTTTGATGTCCCTGCAGATCATGGGGATGGTGGGAAGTGACACCCAGTAGCATTCCCATGTCCCCAGTGTCACCCGTTGGTGTCCCCAGTGTCACCTGCTGGTGTCCCCGATCTCACCCCTCGGTGTCCCCGCAGATCACNCATGGGGTGTGGGGATCACCCTGCACTGACCCTGCAGAGCATGGGGATGGTGAGGAATGGGATCTGGGAATGTTCATGGGGTGTGGGGATCATCCTGGGGTGACGCTGCAGAGCGTGGGAATGGGATCTGGGAATGTTCATGGGGTGCGGGGATCACCCTGCACTGACCCTGCAGAGCATGGGAATGGGATCTGGGAATGTTCATGGGGTGTGGGGATCACCCTGGGGTGTCCCTGCAGAATGTGGGGATGGGATCTGGGAATGGGACACGGGAATGTCCATGGGGTGTGGGATCACCCTGGGGTGACCCTGCAGAGCATGGGAATGGGATCTGGGAATGGGACACGGGAATGTCCATGGGGTGCAGGGGTTATCCCTTGGTGTCCCTGCAGAGCGTGGGGTTGGGATCTGGGAATGTTCATGGGGTGCAGGGATCACCCTGTGGTGACCCTGCAGATTTTGGGGATGGTGGGCAACGGGAGCTGGGAATGTGCCAGGGGTGCAGGGGTTACCCCTTGGTGGCTTTGCAAATGGTGAGGAATGGGATCTGGGAATGTCCATCGGGTGCTGAATTCACTCTGTGGTGACCCTACAGAGAGCTTGGAGATGGTGGGGAGCAGGACACGGGAATGTCCATGGGGTGCGTGGATCACCCTGTGGTGTCCCTGCAGATCGTGGGGATGGTGGGGAATGGGATCTGGGAACGTGCCAGGGGTGGTGAGCTCACCCTGCACTGTCCCTGCAGATCATGGGGGCGGTGGGGAGCAGCACCGACATCATCCTGGTGTCCCCAATCTCACCCTTTGGTGTCCTGCAGATAATGGTGATGGTGGGAAGTGACACCCAGCACCATCCCGGTGTCCCCAATGTCACCCCTCGGTGTCCCCAATCTCACCCCTCGGTGTCCCCGCAGATTGTGGGGATGGTGGAAAGCGGAACCTGGCACCGTCCCCATGTCCCCGATCTCACCCCTCGGTGTCCCCGCAGATCACGGTGCCGGTGTGACATTCAAGGTGCTGCACATCAAGGGTGGGGCAGCAGCTCTGGAGCCCTCGGCCGAGTTYTCGGGGTCCCACGTGCGCTGGGCCGTGAGCTCTCTGTCCCCTGTGGGGCCGCTGATCCGCAGCCCGGAGCCCCTGCGCTACCACGGCGCCGTCATCCTCTACAAGGCCCTGGACCAGCACCCCT